AAGAGTGGGGGCTTGTCATCTAGGCAGCCCAGGACCTGCATAAACACTACCCAGGCTTGCACCGCAGGGAGGTCACTGTGGTGCTGCTAACACAGTTGTTTTACTTCACCCCCAGAAGTGCACTCCATTGAGTCTCGAGACAGATAGATGCCAACAATAACCTGTGTTCCATCAAGGGGCTCTTTACTTTAGGTTGCAGCCTAAAACATGGTTAGGGGATCTGTCAACAACAACAACTGAAAATAACATACAGAAATGCATCTTAATCAGGAAAATGCTTTGCAAAAATAGGCAAAATAGCATTTAAATTTGTAAATTAGGATAAATCCATACTAAAGAGGTGATGAATTTTCAAGAGGATTACACACACTCACACTGATATGTAAATGTGGAGAACTGCACTTAAAAGTGAAAAAAATGAGAAACTGAGAGAAACAGAAATTAAGACAGGTTCACCCATCCCTTGCAACATAACAAGAGCATGGTTAACATTCCTGGCAATGTTATCATTGTAGTGGATTAAAATTCCCTGCGGTAAAGGCAGGGCTTGCAATAATCCTGTTAACGATGTGAGGCGTGTGCAATGAAGCAAATAAAAAGTCTATATAATGGGGTCTTGTGTCAAAGGCAAATTTATAGCTCCAGTGAAAGCAATATCAATCTTATTATATAAGGATGACAATCATAAATGTTCATTAGCTTGGGTGACAAAAGAAATGTTAGTGGTGGGGGAAGGATTTCCTTTTAATTTCTTACTCCAGGGAGAGACACACTGATAGATAAAGGATCAAAATGTTCTGATTTTCAAGTGGGAGAAAAAGGCATCCTTCATTTGTTTCTGCAAGGTTATTGGACCAGATTTCATAAAATGCTGGCATTGAAATAAACGAGAAAGCCATTGATCACACATTACTTGTGGGGAACTGGTTGTTTTCTCTTTTGTGAAAGAGATAAGGACACAACTATTAACTCTGAAAACAAATGAAACATGTTGGTACACAATCAAGATTTCAGTTGGAGAAACACAGAAGGTTTTAATCGGAGTCCCCTTGGGACCAAGTTAAAACAATCCCTTTTCTCAGACATCACCTTTTTTTCTCTTGTTGACATTCTTTCTGGTGCTTGTCTGCACTAACCACTTTTTGTAGGGAACAGCATGAAGAATAGTCTTCTTCAACTGTTCATATCCCATATAAAGTAAAAAGGCAAGGGGGGACCCAGCTGCAATGAGTGCGCAAGCTCTGCCATCTGTCACCATTCCACTTGCCCTTCACAAGCTGGAGGGCAACTGTCTGAAGCAGACAGCTAACTATATTCATGGAGACTCCCCACACATTTTAGAACCTTGTAAAATCAGGTGAAACTGGCCACACGGTTGGTTGTGCAAAGAGAAGCAGTTTTGGAACCAGCAGAATGCCCTCACCTTATGAAATCTCATCCAATGCCTGCATTGACCATCATAAAGAAACAGCATCCAGCCTACCCCTTATATTGGCAAAAATGTCAAAGCAACCTAGGTAGCTATCACCAATTTGGGTAATGGTAAATGAGCCCCATAAGGTAGTTATTCTCCAGGTGGTCCAAGAATGAGTGGAGGAGAGAGACTGCAATGTCTGCTGGCCCCACCTTCAAAATCCTAATGCTTACAGATATCCATGTGTTGGGTGGTGGGTCTCAAGAGAAAGGTTGAGGCTAGCATGTATGACCCTGTTCTCCATGCCATGCCACACATTCTTGGAACACATGGAGAATACCTTCTGCATACAGCTAAAGTCTGAATACAAATGACATGAAGGAACAGCTTTCCTCCTCCACTGGCTCACTCTTTCCTCCAGTGTGGATTCCAGTCTCCAAAATTTAGAGGCCTAGTTTGTTACATCCAAGGAAGGGATAGTGAGCATTTTATAGCATGTTGGGGGAAGTCCTGCTCCCTAAACAAAAGGTTATACTCTTCAAGAGGCTACTAAAGTAGGCATTGTTAATACAATTTTGTTAACTGACCCTTTCAGGAACTCACCACTGCTGTTATTATAGAGAAGTACATATTATATTAGACTGCAGTCAATGTTAGGCTGAATTCCCAAAGAACTAACATTCATTACGGGGTGATTGCTCAGTAATGCACAGTAAAATTTTATAACTGAAACAATCATGATCCAACACCTTGAATCTATATCTGCTCCTCTGTGAAAAGAGTGTCATACACGTTTTAATGTTCTGCCCTGCATTCTATCCGCTAGGGAGTATGCTAAAGGCATTTTTATCCTTGCCAGGCAATTATGTGCAGAAAGTCTGAATTCTCTTTGGTCAGCTTCCATAGATATTTCCCTTTACCAGCATTAAAATGACAATTTAGTTTGCTATTAATATACTTCAATTAGAAGCAGAGAGGCTAATAACCTCGTTGGGTTTTACCAAGATCAGAAATATTCTCATTTCACAGCCCACTGGTTCTTTAGAGGCAACTGAGAATTCCCCACAAGTGAAGCTAAAACACTTATTGAGCTAGCTTTGCATACTAGACGCCACATTCTCCTGCACTTGAATACAACAGCTATGCTGCTTACACCTAATTTATGGATCAGCCAATACACAGAGGCTCAAATTGCACATGACATTAATCAAGTGGTGATTCCCTCCTGACAGTTCTCTTAAAAAAGAATGTATTAATATACCTTGGGCCTTTGACAATTAAGGTGTTTAGTTTTGTGGGACCCACCTCTTACTTAATTTATATCATTTTATTCTGTTTGGAATAGCTTTTTGACATCCTGGGACCTTCTGGTGAAGACAGGGTAAGAAATATTATAAATAAATAGTGAAACAGCTACCTAGGCTGCTATCTGTAACTGGAGAATGGCATGGAGGAGAGCAGGAGAGTATTTCCTCCTTCCTCTTTTCCCTCTCCAGTTCTGCCCCTCCTTGCAGCTGTTTTTAGCAAGAAAACATGGATGAACAGCTATTCATTTTCCCACATAGAACTAAAAACAGCTCAGTTATGCCAACCTTTCCTTCCCCAGGTCAGCCATTGAAGATTTAGATTTTTTTGAGGGAGGGCTGTTGTCAGGGAGCAACATTCCACCAGGTTTTTATTATCATTATTATTATTATTCCTTAGCACCCTGGTTCCAAAATGTAGCAGTTTATCTAGAAAGGTAGTTCAGCTTAGAACTGGCTGTGCAGGATGAATTAAGTTGCAGTTTCCCCAATTCTCCTTTAATATAGAGAAGCCAGTCACTTCTACCTACTGTTGCTATTCATAGGGTGGCCAGTTATGCATTGCCAAAAAGAGGTCAAAATAGGAACCCCAATTTGCATGAAATTTGCATATGGCAATTTGGATGTATAGGTGCAAATTTAGAAATGACTGCTACAATTTAGATGGAAGTGGAATACATCTCACCATAGTGGGGAAGACACCAGGTGACTGGTGACCAACTGCTGCTAACTGTTGATGGGCAAGTTCAAGGCTTGTTTCCCCCTTTTGCTCCATTTACCCCTGCCACTGCTTCCCTGCTCTTTCCCCCCATGTCATATTTTATATTGCAAGATTTAAGTGTCATGCATACAGCTAGTGCAACATAAATACAAACAATTCAAGACAAACATATTTCCCCTAGCAGAGGCTACTGAAGAATTATTTGCAGCTACTACCAATTCAGAAGCCAGGCAAGGATGTAGCCATGTCCTCACTTGACAACCATAACAGAATTGTGAACATTCTGTGACCTAAACCCCTCTGTGGAGCTCAGCAGCACCTCTTAGAAGTCCCTGTGGCCAACAAAATTGCAGCAGGATTGCACCAATGCTCATCTATGCAACCACATTTGCACTACTACTGGGATTTCAACGAGCAGCGCACGTGTTATAGCAAAGAGCTAGGAACATATGGAGTACTCAGCATAGCTTTAAACAATAAACAACAGTGGTTTTAAAAACCAACAATGATGGTCACCAGTGGCCCCACCATGAAAGCAGCACACACTTTACAGTAGCACACATGGCTCTAGGAGGGATGTTTTCTTTTTTTAAAAAATTGGATTCTTATTTGAAAGATTCCCACTGAATTTTTTTTAGTATCCAAAATCTTATTTCCACCACTAACTTAAACTCTAAGGTATAGCATTAAACTATGACCAATCAAGTCCCTTTGCATCGACATTTGCACCCATCGACACACACAAACGGCTCTTTGAGACTCCCTTTAAATACCCAGCCTTGAAATGACAAAGCATAGGGACTTAGTAACCTAAATCCCCACAATAGTTTTAGCCCTGTTCCTTTCTTCCTTCTCTATCTTTGAAAAGCTAACGTTTTAAAGTTATGAAGCCAATTACTTTTAAGGTGTGAGTGTCTCCCAATAGTTGAAGAGATTTTGCAATAACTAGACATTTCCCCTAACTGGAAAAGAGTATAGCAACCAGGATATAAGAGCTAATACTAAATTTGGGCAAACCTTTGACCCAGCCTTGAAGAAACATCTGAATCTAAATCTCTTTCTCAAGTCCCTCTTTTTGCCATTTGCTTAATTTTTAGTGTCTCCCGCTGTTCAGGGTGTGCTCTCAGGAGCAGAAAGTAATTCCGGAGACAGCAATGAAAGCAAAACTTTCTCTGGATCTAACAATTTCATATTCTGATCTTTATTCAATCTTTATTACTCGGATTTATAGCAATGCATAATTAAACAAAATTCTCATTGCAATGATGCAAAATTATAACCTGGTTATGATTCTGCAGGAAGATCTAGCTTAAAATTCATGTTTGAAAATATATTTTCATTTAATGGAGGAAACCAATATACAATAATTTGACACAGGTACCCCCAAACAGGCATCTTTTAGAGATCTACTGCATTTAGTACAAATGAAAATAGGGCCCTAGGTTGGAGTTGTTCATAACATTGTGGGTCAGCTTAGAGTCTACAGCAATTAATCTTTAAAAGACTGCACACTTCCATACCTTACCATTTATGGTAACAGAAATCTCATAATAAGTGAGCTAAGCTAAAAGTCCAGTCCCAGCAATCAGGGCACGGAAGTTTCGTGTAATGTAGTTTTTTCAGCTGTGGATTTGCTGCTGCTTGATTGCTAATATGGAACAGACTCGGGATATGTCAAAAACATTATGAACACAAGACCTTCTGGGCAAAGACTTTACCAATTCCCTGCAATTGTAAGTAATATTTCAGAGAAGTTTGTTTACCGCTTTGCAATCCTTTGCTGTAGTTTTGGTGTGTGGGTGTTTTAACAGAACAATTCTAAATTTTCTGAAGCACCCCCACCCCATCTAGATAGCAAATATATTTCAGAAATATTGCAAACAGCAATGGACAAAAAAATATATATCAATTTTTGAGTAATGGACAAAAAAAGTCACAGGAGGAAATGTTTCATTGAATCCTTTGCTTATATAAATCATATAGGGACCGGAAAAAATAAAGTGAATAATATATGCTAAGATCTTGTGAACTGCACAGTGTGAAGGCATCATTGTGACGGTCAATGCTCTAGCTTCGTCTAAATGAATATCCTTTGCTTCAGCAATGAATTTTTCTCAAGGAATTCAGTGAATTTGATATGCCCATTCCTAGTTTATTTTTTCTGTGGATTTGTAGTCATTAATTTTTGGTTAAGAATACTAAATGGAAAAAGCCCTTTCATGGCTGGGAATGAACCAAGAGCCACTTTAGAAGTTTGTTTGCGTTGTTTTGCTTTTCATTAAAAGACACATTTTTATTACATGTATCTTAGAGCTTTTGTGATAGAATGGGTTAAGAGATTAAATAAAGAAACCCAAAAAGTCACATGTGAATAATCCTGATAACATTTATTGCAGGAAATCATATCAAATTATAAAACAAAACAAAATAAAGCACTCAGTGCAAAAAGTATGCAATACCAACCCAAAACAAGACGAACACAAAGAAAAGCCAAACCAGGAGGCAAAGAATAAAGAAACGAAGTTTAAAAAAGCAGAACTGAAGTTTGTTGTCCTTCCTCAAAGTGCCTGAAAGTTACAAACACACCTTCATGGCACCATGTTATTTTGTCTACAAAAGTAGTTGTTGTGTCTGTTTACAGAGGCCCTGTGTTATTCTTCCTATCTTGTGTCACTTAAGATTTATTTCTAGGACAGCATCACCAGACAGCACCTACAAGGTAACAATTCACATAACAAATTTATGGAGGAGAACTCAAGGGAGCGCATACTGAGCTTTGATTCAAATAGGTTACAGAAATAAATTCTCCTTATCCCTCATGTTATGACTGTAGGTCGTGCATAACTTTGCTGACTTGGAGATCGACATGGCTTGTGATGTCCCCACACCCCCAGCAATCCGCAGCCCTATGAGGCTGACTTGCAGAAATTCAAGCAGTTCTTGCCCTACAACCAGAGACGTCACTGAAAAGAACTACCACAGGAAATGGGTTTCCTCTGGGGAAAATAGAACTCTGTATCTAAAAGTTAAAATCCACCATCGAAGCTGAATCCACAGGTCGAGCGTAATATGAAGATTATCATGAGTAGCAGCAGAGTCGCATGATTACATACAACATGCATAAACAATAATTCCCAAACCCAACAACATTCAGCAAGGCCACAAAAAGTTAGGATTCAAAGTCCCTAGATGTAGCTTTGGAAATTTTAGCATTGCTTCTTTTAACATTGCTTCAGCTGATTTACTAAAAGACAAGCTTATCTCTAAGTCAGAACTGAAATTACCTCAATGTACATTTAGGGTTTTCATCAAAGACATTATTCTTTCATTGCTTTAAATTCCACAATGTATTTATGTGCACAAACACAAAGCTTGGGAATGAGGTTCTATTTAAACTCTCTGTTGACATTTTAAATTCAATCAATTTATATAATTTCAACAACAAAAAGCAGCCCCCCAGCAGCTGAGCAGAAAGTTAATTTGTAGGATTGCTAAACCATTTGTGTGCGTGCACTAAATTTAGACACAGGAATGAGCAGACTATGAATTGTTTTGTCAGTATAAACTAGCAAAGTTAACAGAATGTCTGCAAACAAGGAAGAGCATGCAAACATGCGCTTTGAGTCTGGCTGCATGTTGCACGCATTACAAAACCAGTCGTTCATGTAGTTTTATTTTGTTCAGGAGCAGCTGTATCTGGAGGGGTGTTTGGAAAAGAACAACAGTGTATATTGGCAGGGAGGGGAAAGTGCTCCATAATCAACCCAAGCCTGCAGGGTCCTAAGGCTAGATGGGAGCAGTTGGGGGACCATTTGATGCAAAGCCAAGCAGTGGTGACTGAGGGGTTCATAACCCTTGTATTTCCTGGTGCTTCACCACCAGGGCCTGTGCTACCACAGGACTTTCTGAGGCAGTCGCCTTAAGTGGCATTTCAGGAGGGGCAGCAGATTTGCATCTGGGTGCCATGCTTGCAGAAGTGAACACCTCTTCCTCCTCCCTGAAAGTGAACTAGATTTTTGTCCAACACTTGAGATCATCTTCTGAGGCCCTTCTTTGTGTGCCTCCTCCACAAGAGATCTGGAGGGTGGCACCTGGTGCTGTCATTATACACCTTTAGGCACCAGGCAAAAACGTTCCTCTTTAAAGAGGCCTTTGGCTCATTCACATCCAATGCCCTTTTAAAAGGGGGGTTATGGGTTTGTTTCTGTTTCTATTTTGATTATGTGTTTTGTGGTTTTATATTGTGATTTTATCCTGTAAACCACCCTGAGACCTGTGGGTATAGGGCTGTATCCAAATTCAAGAAATAATGATGATGATGATGATGATGATGAAGAAGAATGTAGCAGCGTAGGTATTATTCCCCTCTCCACTCTAGTATTTCCCACTATGTGGACATCCTGATATGGTGATTCCAAAGTCAGGCTTAGGGCATCCTCCCAGTGTTCAGACTCATCACTGTCTTCCTGCACTGCTTTAATTTTCTGTCTCTGAGTTTCCTTGACAGGGTTTGAAAATCAGTTGGGTTTAACTCTAGAAGGTTCAATTTAGATGTTAAACTTTGCATATTTTATTGTTGTAAGCCACTTGGTAATAAAGATGGTGAAAAGCCCTGTATACATTTAAATAAATAAATCAGAAGACAGAGTTTGATAAATATCCATAAAAGTGGGATTAGGCCTACATGGGTGGTTTAAGGTATGGTGACCATATTGCAGAACTGGAAAGGACTTTAAGGTCCATAACCAGGGATGCTGGGGTGGGGTGGCTGTGGCTTCCAGGATCTGGTGAGATCACACAGAAGCATTCCTTGGATTCTGCCAACTGAGGTGGCTGCCTCAATCTGCTTCCTGGACAGGATGGCCCTGTCTATAACTATGCAAAACTAACACCACATGACCCCATGCACCTTCTAAACCTGTTTGGGGGGGTCCCCAAACTTCCTGAGTAGATTGAGGGGGCACCAGGGGGCACAGGAAGAAGAAATGAATACAGAATCTATGATTTTCTCTTCTTATTTCATCTCCTCTTTATTCCCCTCCTCACAGGCCCAACAGAGAACATCTGCCTTACAATGTCATTCTAAAGGACTTGCATCTACATTGTTATAGGAATGTCCATCACTGCTCAAAACCTTAGTAATCAGCTATGGCGGCTCATGTTTTTTCAAGATGATGACTGGTTCTTGAAAATACCGAGGGACTGTGTCTGAATCGCAATGAATTCCTTCCCTTCAAACTTTCTCTTCTGCTAGGTCAACTTTGCAAAACTCAACACTTCACAGTTAATGAAGCTGCTGAATGCTGCGATTAAAAATATTTTGCTTCTAGATAAAACTAACCCAGTCCCTAGAAAGATGGAAAGTTTTGCTACCCTGGGAACAGTCAACATTATCTCAATATTTCTAGCTTTTTATGCTAACCTAGAAGTACAGTGCACCAGAAAAAGAAAGTGTTAGTACTTATCTCTTCGAGTAGCAAAACTCATGTGAGCTTTAGAGAGACACGATCTTGTTAAGGCATTGTATACTAATTTCTAAACAATCTTGAAATGATGGAATAATACCACATGAGACAACAATATATCACTGAACCATTTCAAAGATCTATGATATTTAAACCAAAATGCATGGGATCTTCCTAGGACTGCTTTCATAACTCTCTCTCTCTCTCTCCCACACACACACACAAATCTAAAACTTGAGAACAATAAAAAAGCATATTGTGGCAGATACAGCATTGGTAGCAAGAAAGAAATACCCAATTTTAACAACTAAAAGCCTAGTAAAGCATTTTAAAGGCCTTGGCCTGGCACCAGCAGTGTTGCGTCATTTGCCCACACATGCGTGCCGAACGGGGGTGGGGGTTGGAGGCGTGAACAGAATCCACTGAGCCTGCCCAGTCCTCATGGCTAATGCCACCAGGTGGGCGCACACAGGGTACAGGGGATTCACGGAGCCTGTGCACCAGCCCAGCCCTCACCACTCAAGCCATGTGGGACCATGTTGTACCTTCTGCCTGCTCATGCAGGGAGCAGCCTGGCCTGCTCATGCAGCTCTTGGCAGTCAAATCTGTGAGTGGGTTGGGGATGTGGCAACGAGACCATGCTGGGCTCTGGAGCCCAGGGATCCTTGGCAGCAGGCAGGGTGAGATGGGGATCCCTGTGTGGGGGCACCTGGTTCATGCCCCCTAAAAACAGTGCACCCAGGGCCACAGTCCCCCACACACGCATGCTACACCTCTGCCTGGCACCAAAAAGATATCAGTGTTCATATTAGGTGAGCCTCACAGGGAAAAGAAATCCATAAATAAGTCACTAGCACTGAGTAAGCCTTCTGATGACAATAATCTCTGTACATGAGCAGGTTTCCCTTGCAGAACTTTTGTTCCTAACTATGTACAGTCTTACCTCGGGTTAAGAACTTAATCCGTTCTGGAGGTCCGTTCTTAACCTGAAACTGTTCTTAACCTGAGGTACCACTTTAGCTAATCGCTGCAGCTGTGCGATTTCTGTTCTCATCCTGAAGCAAAGTTCTTAACCCAAGGTACTATTTCTGGGTTAGGGGAGTCTGTAACCTGAAGCGTCTGTAACCTGAAGCGTCTGTAACCCGAGGTACCACTGCAAACTAGAGCTTTAAGAAGGTAGCACCACCAGCACTTTGAGATAAGTTCAGAAATAGTCTGGTCACCAATGTGGTGGTGGTGGTTGATAATGTATAATTAGTTATCCCTTAATCCAGGCATAGGCAAACTCCAGCCCTCCAGATGTTTGGGACTACAATTCCCATCATCCCTACCACTGGTCCTGTTAGTTAGGGATGATGGGAACTGTAGTCCCAAACAGCTGGAGGGCCGGAGTTTGCCTATGCCTGCCTTATCCCTGTCAAAAAAAACATTGAAGCTGCATTTTGAACTAGCTGAAGTTTTCGAAAGAATGTTCAAAGGCAGTCCAATTTGCAGAAAAGCACTAAAGGCTGCTCCATGCAGCAACAGGCTGGAGTTGAAAGCTTTCCCCCATTTCATCAAGGCAACTCATTTGACAGAGAGAGAGCAGCTGCACCAAGACACAAGTGGCTGTCCTCCCTCATAAAACAATAGGGGAGAGAGGTCACATCTCTCTCTCCTTATCCCTTTACTGCTTTAGAGGAAATAACATAACTTTCCTTTTATGCCACCACCTTCCTTTGCCAAAGTGGAGGAGGCAATGACAGAGACACCGGGAATCATTTCAGGTAGAAGTATTAATGCATAACTTACTTACCCCACATCCAAATCCAAAAGTAGAGCACTCAGTTACTGTGCCTGGAACTGGCACAAGCAAGATATAACCCAAGAGAGGTGCCAGTATGTATTATTCCTATGGCTGCAATGGAAATTATAAAACTGCTTCTGTTGGCTGGATGTATTTTGTCTAACTCTGTTCACAGCAGGTTTAAATGACACGGTAGTTAATGCATTAGAGGCTGCTGGCAGATTCTCTGCACAAGTATACCCATCATAGCTATAAATAGCTTTAGGGCTTAGATGACACTGAGACACTGAAAAGGCTTAGTTCAAGTGAAAAAAATCAAGCCTTAGGTAAATCACAATGAACCATGTTACCCCAATCAACACCACATGCATCAAGTAAATGCCCATTAAGAATAGATATCCCTTTGTTCATAGGGACAGCCTAGAAAACAAATGTGTGAATGCAGTTAACATACCTGGGGGGGAGGGGTTTTGGGGGGTCACGTTAGGAGAAGCTTGAGGAGCTGCAGGACAATGGGAGTGGAAAGCAAAGAAGTTGACTCTTTCACTCCATGCCAAAGTCCCAACAAAAATCACAGAAGCTGCAACTTGCCTTTCAAGGGAGAGTTGTTTAGATATATTTATTGGCACTGATGGAAACTTCCCTTGAAATGCTTTAAAAACATGTCAAGCAATTAATATCACATCCATTTTAGCCCACAGGTGCAGGTGAACACTGAAAATGAGTCATATTCACCTGCACTTTCTAATTCTAGCAGTGTTGAATCAAGCACGCTAAAGTGTAACAGTATACAAGCCACATGAAGCAGCCAATGAATGAGATGAGAACCACTGACCACTACAACAAATAAAAAGACAACATGCATTTTTAATTTTGTTTTTAAGTTGTAATCATTTAACTTGTTTTTATTATTGCTTGTATTATTGCTCTGAGCCCGGCCTTGGCTGGGGAGGGCGGGGTATAAATAAAAATTATTATTATTATTATTATTATTATTATTATTATTATTATTATTATGCATCTGTCCCTGATATGCCTGCTGCATCCACAAACGAAGCATACCAGACCAGCTTTGTATGTGCAGTAAAACTCCAAAATTAACCAAACAGTATGTGACAGGCAATTAAGTCACACACAAACATAGATATATATTAGTCTGAGTATCTGAAATTTGGATTTTAATATTAGCCCTGAATATGCAAAATTCATTCAGTGAATTGCTTTCTGCGTGCTACTGGGTTTATTTTGGAGTTTTGCTTCTCAGAAAATAAGAATGCGTAGATTTTTTTAAAAAAACACAAATTATCCAAGCTTTGCAAGATGAGGATGAGTTCTTGAGTATGTTGAACCAGCACAATGGTAAAACTGATTGCTTCTGTTATTTATTTTATTTTTACACAGAGATAAAGGCCACAGAATCCATCACCATAAATCATGTTGGGGAAAAAGCCGGTGACAGCACAGAAACGAGGGGAGACCAGAGCACTCTGCCTGGGCTTGGGAATGGTAGCATGCTCAGTGATAATGTATTTCTTTATCGGAATCACCATTGTACCCTTATACAATAAAAGGTAACTGGGCTTGTTGAGCAGGCACGTATGTGGTTTCCTCCTTCAGCATTCGGGACTATCCCAACATGTAGAATGCATTCTGGGTCTCAGTGTCACAGCCTGGTCCAGTCCATTTGGAATACTAAATTTTGTGATCTAGGCCTGATTTCAACATTGACAGTAATAAAATTTGCAATCTTGAAGATTGAGCCAGTGCTTCTCTCCACGTGAAACAATGTATGTTGTGTATAGAACATGCCACACAAAGACGAGCACTCTGCAATTTCCATTATTCTTTCCTCTCAAATTGAGGAAGAGAAACCACACAAACATGTTTCCAAATGTCCATATCACACACTTCTTATTGCGGAAGCGAACAATGTGTTCCCCACAACTGCATGGGTGGCTGAATTAAGTACATCAGCCTAACCATAGATAATTCTGGACATTAATGTGTTCTAAGAACTGAAATTCTATTTCACTTAGGAAGCACTTAAGGCAGGATGTTCATTAACTATCCATTCATAACAGACCTTCATTGCTAAATATGCCTAATCAAATTTCTGTCTACAGAGAAGTTAACTTGGAATTGCTTAAATGGCAGGCGCTTTAGCTTCTGGAGCAAGGAAATATGCTTATCCTTGCTGTCATGGCTCAGATCAGAACCGTCATGGTGTTCCCCATTATGACAGTGATAACGTTTCAAGCTGGCCACAGTTAACTAACAAATATTGGGCACAGCCAGTGAAGTGAACTGTGCATATTTTGAGAAAGGAATTAGCTTATCTTAAATTTACCCTGGCACTGTCATTTCATATACCATGCACACCCGCCCTCTTTTTCAAACAGTAAAGCTATTTGTGCAAATTCCACCAGCACTTAGGAAATTCCACCAGAACTTAGAGTAGCATCTGTTTTTTGGGAGGTAAGGGAATACTGCTATAATAAAAACTTTATTTAACAACAGCCAGATTTTAGGAGGGGAGGGCAGAGGAGACTAATACCAGAAACCAAACAATCAGGGATGAATGTATGTATATTAGATTTTTCCAATTCTGCCAGTAAGATATGGTTATAAAAAGGCAAGTTGGGATTCAAGTGATGCTGTGGTCTACACCACCGAGCCTCTTGGGCTTGCCAATCAGAAGGTTGGCAGTTTGAATCTGCCAACCTAGCAGTTCAAAAGCACACCAGTGCAAGTAGATAAATAGGTACCGCTGCAAGGTATATGGTGTTTCTGTGTGCTCTGGCAATCATCACGGTGTCCAGAAGCAGTTTAGTTATGCTGGCCACATGACCTGGAAAGCTGTCTGTGGACAAACTCCGGCTCCCTCAGCCTGCAAAGTGAGATGAGCGCTGCACCCCATAGTCACCTTTCATTGGACTTAACTGTCTGGGGGTCCTTTACCTTTACCTTTGTTTTAGCAAAAGGCAGCAAAGAAATGTGCAGCAACCACATTTATTAAGGGATATTTCCTCCCCAAGCCCTTTTCTCAATGCCTACCCACAAGCCTCAAGATAAGCCCTTGCATTTGCACCTTGGCAAACCTTTGCATCCTCTATGTATGTGAGGCGTATGTACGTGAGGTGTGGCTTGTAGCATCTTCATTGTTCAGCTTCTGCCATGTGCTAGAGACACACCTCTTTACCTTGGGCTCTTGACAGTTAAGGTGTTTCATTTTCTGGGATCCATCTTTTTGACTGAATTTGTATTCTGTTCCACCTGGAACAGTTTTATGTATATTCTCATTGTAATGGTTTTATTTGTTTTCTAATTGTATATTCTATTGCTGCAACCTGCCCTTGAGCCATATAGTGAAGGCCAGACAAGAAACCTTATTTAAATAAATAAATAAATAAATAAAAGTAAGATATAGACTGCTCCCAGTTTGTTATCAGTTGACAACAGTCATATATAGAATTGAGGATGCAAAGGTTCATTAACAGCACCTGAATATCATACACCACAATTTACACACTGCTGTAACACAGTTGTAAATTGAACCTCATCTCAAAAGTAGTTGTATTGAATGAAGATAATTTCTATAATTTCAAAATATAATTTATTAGATAAATCAGTGGTTCACAAAGGGTGTGGTGCGCTATACTGGTGTGGCAGGAGAGGATGGCAAGTGAGGCGGGAAGATTCAAAGACAATATAAAAAAATGAAAAATTATAGTAACAAAATAATATTTTTTTATATACAGCCATGCCTCTCTTCAAGAGCATTGGCTATTCTTCTACAGTCCTTCATGACATATTATTATGAACAGCGATTTTCAACTCTGACAAATATGAAAGAAAAAAAAGAAGAAAGACTTCTTTGTGTTTATGAGGATATGAGAGTTTGTCTCAAATTAGACCTAATATAAATAAGATTGCCCGGCAAAAGCAAGCTCAAATGTCTCACAGAGTTTGTATACATACTTAAGGTACATATTTAAAATGCTTGTTTATAATTATATTTTGGTAATGATCCATGTTCTTATGCAGCTGCATTGTTTTATATTTTCTGGATGTCCCATGATCATATTATAAAGTTGCTGTGTTCTATGTTATAAATCAAGCACTGCTAGAAGTTGTTTATTTTCCCCCCAATGTATTTTTTATCAATTAAAAATTTGGTGTGCATGAGCAAATTTTTATTCTGAAACTGTGGCCCAGAGTAAAAAAGCTTGAGAACCACTGAGAAAAATTTCTAAATTACATACTTTGCCATAGAATTCATCAACATAATCCATTAAACTTCAGTTTCTTAACAATACTGCTTGCTGCATAATTTGCAAAAAGTGACATTTTAAAATATTTGCCGGAGTTCAGCCTGAAATGCTATGGAAATGAATGAAGTAGTTGAATATTTAAGTAGTACTGGGCTGAAGTACATGGCTATAACTCTGGAAAGCTGTGCATTTAAAAGCAGGAGGGGGGTCTTATTTGTTTTTACAGTGTCTGGACCAATAAAGGTATATGCGAACTGAAAAATGCCAGCATCAAGGAACAGCAGCAGTGTTTATTCAATGATGGCTCCAGTGATGAAAATAAGTTTCAATATCCTTGTTTGGACATCATGGTCAATTTGACACCTGTCGGGCAGGTGGTAAAGCTTTATCACCAGGAGGAGACCGTGTTCAGAAACCCCAAGGTTTGAGTTATATTCATACCAATCTACATACCAATGTCAAAATCCAGATATTCTCCAGTGCACATATAGATAACATAAGCATAACGCCATTGCTCCTGGTCACGCAGAAGTAAAAGATTTCCCCAAGGAAATCTGACTCTGATACAGTTTCCTAACCCTGGGCCAGGTGACGCTAGATGTGAGATGCAAACAGATTCAAGCAAAAATTTATCTATCCCTGCTTCCGCATGCAAAAAGTAGCATTTTGGCCAAGAGCCTCTCTTCTACCACATTATACAATCCTTTAATTATGCAGAATTTATAAACTATGGTTAGGGATGGCAAAATCTGCCATATCCCAGGGCTACGCTGGACAATCCGCATGCATTACTTGCTCACTCAATATGTGTGGGTGTGGGTGGGTGGGTGTATATATATATATATATAGAGAGAGAGAGAGAGAGAGAGAGAGCGCCTAAATGACAATTGTGCTGATTCTGAAGATATGTGGCCAGTACGTTTTTTCTATTAAAAAAAAAAGTTTAGAGGTACTCTCATTTTGACACAAGAAAATCACCATTTTATAGTTCAAATCAGGAAAAATAAATACAGTAAATGGACAAAAGTACAAAGATTCACAAAATGTTTAGGGGTATGCGTACCCCTGCGTCTCCCCCAGAAAAAAAGCACTGTTTTTAAACATTACACTGGCTGCATGGATTGCCTGCATGCTTCTGGCCATAGCTACTATTATAGGGATAAGAGAGAAATTCTCTGCAGTTCACATTTAAAGGTGAACCTACCTAATTTGCACTTTCAGAAATAAAAGATAATCTGAAAAACAGCAATCTTTAAAAATTTGTACTTTTCCAAAATTTGCAGTGCATTTCTCCAGCCAAGTAATGTACACAAAATACTGGGGTATAGTGACCATTAAATGCATATATTACTGAAAGCAACTTACAAAAAATGCATTATTTTAGGGGAAATTGCAGACAATTTTGTAAATTACTTTGAGATATCTCATAGCACACAATTCATAAAATAGCAGTGCAAACATGTATATCTTAACAAAAATTCTAATTAGAAGACTGCTAAATTGTCATGAGGACTTAAATTGCAAACTGATGCTGAAAAACAGAGCTATGATCTTAAGACTGCAAAGATGAGAAACAGAAAAATGGAAATTGATAGATTTGCCCATTCGGACCCCTGGGACAGATTTGTCTCCAGCTTTGGAAGTTTCATATTCCTGAATACTTGGAATCGAAATCAAATATCAGAATCAATCTGCAGTTCTTGCAGAGGTATTGGTCTAAAATTCAACAAGACATTCAATAAATACTAAAATAACAACAACAACCATTTAAAAACATTTTGGCTTTTTGTAATTGTGCAGTGAATGTTTAAATAATTCATACACACATGAATTATGGGTCAGATATATGTTTTTAATTATCCATATCAGAAAAAAACCTGATATAACTCCTAAATCATAGGACCTAAGAAGCGGAGTGGGGGGTATTTTTTGCTTTTAAAAACAAAGCATTACTGACATTCTAAAACTCACAATTCCTGTTGGAATCAAATGGAGCCCATCTGAAATGTTCTCACAGTGTCAGAATAGCAAAGCAAAACTGAAGAAAATTGCTCATTCCTACAATATATCCAAACAACTTCAGTTTGAGTCATATAAGAGAAGCCATAAAACCTTTTCCAAATAGGGAATTACTATTTTAAACAGAATTATTTTGCACATTCACTTGTTTGTTTTTAGCTGCATTTGTTATTAGTTTCAGTGTCTTACAGTAATTCATAGTCTAGCAGGAAATAATCCTATTTACATTGCATATCTAAAATTCCCTAGACAAATTAACAATAACAATTTCCCTAATGGAAAGCTCAACTTGTGCTTCAAGGCCATCAATAGTTGCTCACGTATTTTGTCTCAGGCACACAAGGACATTTAGAAAGGAATATGATTGCACAGAAATACTTGCTCATATTAGAATTACATCTTTGAAGTAAGTGATTTATAGGTCTCCATTACATTGTTGGTGCTGTTGGTTCTACTTTTCAGTTTAACATACAGGAGAGAGTTTTTTGTTTTGTTTTTTACATAAAATAAAATGCTACAGTGAGCAGTTCATTGATCTTAAATTGTGCGGCAAAACTAGACGTGCTATATATTTCTCCATTTCTAATATATAATCAAGTAAAATTAGATAAATTGTAAATTTATTATTATAATAAAATTTCTGATTGTCTTACACAAGGAAACAGGTTTGCTCCAACTGTCAAAAGTTTCATAATTCTGGACATCCTTTTTCCCCTTCTGTGTGACTGAGCTCTGTTAGTAGGGGTGGGTAACATGGAAGGGCAGTGCCACAGAGCTACTGTACCAACAGCAGGGCAATGGTGAGGTTAGGCCTATGGGAGCACTGAGTTAGCTCTGCTGGTACACCTGGACAACACCAAGCTCTTCTTCCCTCTGCCCTATACTGCACTATCCAGGTAAGCAGCAGTGATGCCACTCTCAGTAGGGTGGCCTATGCCAACACCCACCCATACTGGTTACTGTTGTCTAATACTCATTTATTTTGTATTTCCCCCCAAGTCCTCAAAACATTTCACAAGCATTTAATAATCCTTACAATAACGCTGAAATGTAGGCCATTGTTATAACTCCCAGCAGGTCATTCTGTTCTCAGATACTCTGTATTAGACATCAATAAAGGGGTAAATTCTATGTGTATTTAACTATGGTGAAATACTGAAAGTGAAGCCCAGAGAGTCCTTGATACACTTTTGCAATACAAAATGTGGTGGTTATGATTCTCAGTGACACCTTCTTTCACACACCTATCCTAAAGGCATCACTGGCTGCCTTTGCTGTCAAGCAGAGTTAAGTTTTTGTTGCTACCTTATAAGGCACTGAACATTTTAGGACCAGGTTGTCCAAGAGAGCAGCTCCTTCCATAGAATCCAGCCCATTGCCTGAGATCAGGAGACAGCAACCTTACTGTAGTGTGCCTGGTAGTGATTTGTCTGGTGGTGACTTAGGGGAAGGTATTTTCCAACTAGCACTTTCCTATAGTAGGTGCTCTGCTGGCTGGGTAAAACATACCTATTGGCAAATTCCATCCCCACAGCTATTCCTGCCCACCCAATTGCCATAGGAACCAATAATCCATTTGGGAGTGACTCCTGAAATTAGTCCTCAGATTGCTTGAGTTCTTCCACTTCGTTTCAAAAGAGCTTAGGTAAAATTCTGAGGGGAGCTTTTGGAAGTTCACCTCTCTCTATACAAAAGTAATGATAATTGCTTTCGTAGATTTTCACGGGTACAGGAATGCAGGTTTTGGTGTCCTCGGGTGTCTTCCCGTGTAAAAGTTGGGGTGTCTAGGCGACGTTTCGACGAGGTCTCACTCGTCATCTTCAGGCTGGTGCTTTCGGCTTCTTGTTACTGGAACAGAGCAGGATCTCAGTGTTTGAGTTCCTATAAATACTGTTGAGGGGGTGTGGTGTATAGCCTCCAATGTTCTGGGCAGAGAGGAAGTTCCCAGGTTAGTGTGCCTTTTCTTCTTTTGTTCCTTAATTACTAGAGGGATATCTTGAGTGATTTCTTGAGTGATATCCTGAGTACCACTTAGGTGGGTCATTAGGTGTGGATTAGTTGCTAAAGCCTTCGTGTCTTGACCTCTTGAACTTTGTGAAGAGTTTTTCTGAGAAGATGGCTGTACTGCAATTAGTTGTGCTCTGGCTTGGCTTCGTGTATAGGGGCGAGCTGTGGTTTTGTGTCCTGTGCCAGCCAGATCTGTGTAGGGATTGCAGGGGGGTGCAGCATCCGGAGGTGCCACCATGGTTTGGCTACTGGATGGTGTCTGTAATTTATCTGTGGAGAGGGTCTGGGTTTGGGTCTGGTGTGGTTGATTGGTGATGGCGTTCTGTGTGCCTCTGGATCTGGTGTCGGTTTTTGTGGGGAGGGCTAATTTCCAGAAGAAAACAATGGCATGGCCCTCCTTCCTTATATCAAGGGCACTACAGATAAAATTAGCAAAATCCTCCATAAACACAATATCAAAACAGCCTTTTGCACCAACCAAAAAATAGCCAATATCCTCAGAAACCCCAAGGATAAAATCCAGTTGGAAAACCAAGGGGTCTATGAAATACCCTGCAAAGTCTGCCCAGCCACGTACATTGGACAAACAAACAGACGAATAAATGCACGTATCGCAGAACACAAGAATGCCGTCAAAAAAGAAGAAAAAACTTCCTCTCTTTTCCAACACATGAAAGAAACAGGACACGAAATTAATTTTGCAGATTCCAAATTGCTCTCTAACATGGAACATCACCACAAGAGAATAATCATGGAAGCCATCGAGATAGAGAAACACCCTCACAACATGAACAAGCGTGACGACACATCCCGCCTGCCAGACATCTGGAAATTAGCCCTCCCCACAAAACCGACACCAGATCCAGAGGCACACAGAACGCCATCACCAATCAACCACACCAGACCCAAACCCAGACCCTCTCCACAGATAAATTACAGACACCATCCAGTAGCCAAACCATGGTGGCACCTCCGGATGCTGCACCCCCCTGCAATCCCTACACAGATCTGGCTGGCACAGGACACAAAACCACAGCTCGCCCCTATACACGAAGCCAAGCCAGAGCACAACTAATTGCAGTACAGCCATCTTCTCAGAAAAACTCTTCACAAAGTTCAAGAGGTCAAGACACGAAGGCTTTAGCAACTAATCCACACCTAATGACCCACCTAAGTGGTACTCAGGATATCACTCAAGAAATCACTCAAGATATCCCTCTAGTAATTAAGGAACAAAAGAAGAAAAGGCACACTAACCTGGGAACTTCCTCTCTGCCCAGAACATTGGAGGCTATACACCACACCCCCTCAACAGTATTTATAGGAACTCAAACACTGAGATCCTGCTCTGTTCCAGTAACAAGAAGCCGAAAGCACCAGCCTGAAGATGACGAGTGAGACCTCGTCGAAACGTCGCCTAGACACCCCAACTTTTACACGGGAAGACACCCGAGGACACCAAAACCTGCAAGTAATGATAATATGTATATCAATGATCACAGCTGGCACTTATTGCCAGAAAGCAATATTGGTAAGCATACTTCTTTTCCTGTTATTGAGTAATTATGATTAACTGGTTTCCTGGGGTTTGTTTTGTTTCTGCAGTGCTCCTACATCCCCCCGACTCTGAAGAATTATACTGCAGTGCAAGAGAATGTAGAAAAAGTAAGACAAAATTTCACAGAAGCCCAGGTGTTTTATTGTTATTATGATCCATCAGGACAAGAAGCCACTGTCCTTTTATACAGACAATATCTTCCAGAGTTCCTTTTGTTCACTTTTGTCTGGCCAAGTCTGATGTTGATTGGTGGAGTCCTGATTATTGTCCTGGTGAAAATAAGTCAGTATTTTTCTATACTCTTAGCTCCACAGTACAGAACAGGTATATAGAATGTCCCAATGTTTGCCTGTATCTTACATTCACATCTATATCCAAGACAAGCTGTGAACAATTTCTGAAGTTTATTCACTGTGAAGTAACAAGGTAGGAAGCTTAAAGGACACACGGATAAGATTCAGAGCTGGAGGCCATCCAAATGAGACACATTACTGTGCTGCTTTTGATCAGATAAGACTTGCAGAGTCAGCTTTTGTTCATATTTCAAGTTCTGAATTGTTCCATGATCAGAAAGCTGGGCAAGGAAATTGGCTATATTCTCACATACACTACTGTTGAAACTGTGGGCTACTCAGAACATTTTACAGATTGAAAGCACCAGTTATTTTGGGCCAACTTAGCACAGACTTCCATGTAAGCATAGGCACGAGTCCTTCCTTGTACACTATGAGGGCTAGATTTTAAAACTAATTAATATGACAAAAAGAAAGAAAGAAGCTATTTAACATGATGTGGAAAATGGAAGAACATTCATGTCCTGCCATCTGCTCCTCCTCCCCAAAGAAACCCAAATGAATATTATATTGTTAGGATGCGACATTTGCAACCGAAATTATTCAACACCCATTGCAAATCAGGTTTATTATCAAAATTTATAGATTTTCACCCCCAAAAAAATCAGCAATGAAGATTTTTGCAATGATCAAATCAAACAAAAGTCATTGAAATAGCACAGCACAATGGATGCTTCGAGTGATTTTGCAACTTCACCAGCTTTGAAAGCAAGCACTACAAGCAACTCAATGTACTGGTAAATTACCACAATGCACTGTTGCAGCTGTTGTCATTACCTGTGCATTAAGCTAATGTTTAAAGCTTCATTGCTCACTGAAGACCAGTTTGTGTGTTCATGTGCTACCTAAATCTATAACAAGCATATACATGGAGCCCTCTTAATAGCAGAGTCTGAGTACCAGGCCAAAGGCAACCTTGGCAAAGACATAATGGAGAGCAAGGCTATTAGTGGGGGACTCTTCCAGCATTACTGGGAAACCCTTATTTTTCCAGGGTTTCAGATCATACAGTCATGGTTGGTTGATTGGTTGACAGGCATCCATCTCTCTCAGAAGACAGTGGAAGAGTACACCTTTGGAGGTGAAGTCAAACTTTTGGAGACTTAGAGCGCCTGCTATGACTGTACTGGCTGAAATGGAAGATACCCATTTTGTGCAGTTGGGGAAGATGAAGGCCTCTGGTTTGCTGCTGCAGATGCACCATGGTGTTTCTTCTTTCTGTGTTCCTCCCAGCAGTCATTCCTCCTCTGGTCACTGCTGTGGATACATGACCTGACTGTGTCCTGGCACTGCAGCCGCATGCAAGGGATTCCCACACAGGAGGGTTAATGTTGCCAGCCTTCGTGTCAGATTTGCAGACAACTATGTAACACAGAGCTGGTCTGCCAAAGGTCCAGGTGCCTGAAACCAGCTCCCCATAGTGCACGCCCTTGAAGATCTTCCATTCTGTGGCCATTACCAAGCTAGCACAGATGTTGCTGATACAGGAGTGCAAACATGCTGGGAATGTGGGCTTGGGAGAGCACATCTTTCTTTGAGATTCTTTCCTGCCATGTAATGCCCCAAATCTTCCTGACACAGTGCATATGGGATGCATTGAGATGTTACTCCTGGTGGGTGTAAGTTATCCACGTCTCAGTTCCGTAAAGCATTGTGCTCAACACACAGGTCATGTAGCCCTTTAGCTTGGTATTGGTTGTTAGCATTGCATTCTCCCATAAGCTTTTGGAGAGGCTGATTCATATGCACAAATATTCAACACAGCCAGAGAGCCATTTAATTCAATGTTCATATATTGGGGACAGGACCTACAACCATACTGTGCAGGAGTGGAGTGAAGATTTTTTTTTAATGACGAAATAATATGAAAATGTGGAGAGCTGGACTTAATACAGGAAGAACGAAAAATCAAGAGAAACAAAAATTGACATATTTACCCGTCCTTCACCATACCTCAGTGATAGAGCACATGAGGTGGTTGGTGGTTAGAGTAATTCAGATTTCATTTTTAATTCTATAAGAAGGGGTTTTTTTAAAGCAGCAAATACAGCACAACACAAAACCCACACATGGATTCCCCCCTATTACAAAAGACTTTCAAGTTTTTTAGCTTCAACCTATTATGATTAAGTGACTAAAATTAAAGAACAAAATTACAATCCACAAGGTGTGTCAAATACTTCTAGATTCACAGTTGCTGAATTAACTGGCTGTTATTTAAGCAGTTGTGGGGGCTCTTAATAACCCTGGGCTCAGCTACAGCTCAGGTATTTGATCTTCTTTTTGCTTGGTCCCACGCAGTGCCAAGAAAATTGCCTGTCATAGCACTGGCCTCTGCAGATGGAATTCTCTCTGTGTTTATTACTGCCTATTGAGCAATGCAAATCAAAACAGCACACCATTCATGTTTAGTTACACAGGTTAGTACTCATAATGCTTATGCAATTAGCATTTGGAAAGAAAGCTATAGCCTCAAAGGAGTTGCTGCTTTCCCCAAATATGATCAGAGCAACACCATCACCTCCCTGTTTCTCTAAGCAACTTACACTTCTGTGGTTTTATTTTGGTGGTTCACAGTTGAGTGCAAAAGGTGTCAAGAAGTTAAAGAACATTATTTCACAGCTCCCATGTGTGTGTGTGGGGGGGGAATCTGTACTTTTAATGGTTAAAACCAAACAAGGGGTCTGCTTCAAAAAGTGACAAATTTTACACCATTTCCTGCATGCAAGAGCTTCTCATGTAGAGAAAATACATGCATGGATTTATTGTATGCGACCACCATATATTATTTTAGTAATGTATGCAGTCAACCAAATAAAGTCGTGTGATCATTACACACAGCAATATACACAGAGGTTCCACACCAATTCCTACATTTGTATGTGCAGTGGTACCTCGGGTTAAGTACTTAATTCGTTCCAGAGGTCCGTTCTTAACCTGAAACTGTTCTTAACCTGAAGCACCACTTTAGCTAATGGGGCCTTCTGCTGCTGCCGCATTGCCGGAGCACGATTTCTGTTCTCATCCTGAAGCAAAGTTCTTAACCTGAAGCACTATTTCTGGGTTAGCAGAGTCTGTAACCTGAAACGTATGTAACCTAAAGCGTATGTGACCTGAGGTACCACTGTATTTTTATTTTTATTTTTAATGTCACCACTCATCCAAATAGATTCGGATGGAAATTCAGTCAGGTATTAAGACAGAAGTCTAAAATTGTTCCCCTATCTCTTCACTCCAATCTCCTCTGGGTGGTCAGTGTAACCAAGGGATGAAGTGCCAAGGTGGCATATGATTTTTTTGAAAAATTATGAATTGATACCTTAAAAACAACCATGAAAACAGATTGAACATCAATATATTCATTGCAAATCACTAAATATATCTGCCTAATATAGAACTAGCATACTTCCCACCATTTATTAGATGGAAATTGGGGCATGCTCACAGTGTCATATCAAGGTTCACAGCCCAAGCTGCCCTTCTACAATTACATATTGGTCAAGACTAAGCTCTGTCTGCTGTATTTATCAATCCTGCAAGAACTTGTTCTGTACTCTTTTTAAAACCAGTGTGTTTTTCTCTTTTTATTAAAGATAACCATTTTTAAAATATAGCTGTCCTATAATCTGCTTTAAACAGTTGGAAATGAGCTCCATCAGCATGTGAAGTAGCAAACAGTGAACTAGGTATATGGGCAGGCTGTTTGGACCAGTGAAACCGACCACCTGTCTCCTTGATCCTTGCCCATCCTGGCTCCTAAAAGCGAGCTGGGAAGCGTTGGGCGATGAGCTCCCACAGGGTGGTGAATGCCTCTCTCTGTGAGGGAGTCTTCTTAGACTGGCTTAAAGAAGTGGGTATTAAACTGCTTCTTTAAAAAATGTATTCACTCCCATCATTCAAAAAGCGTATTCACTCCCATCATTCAGTCCAGACGCTGAGCTCCTCCTCAGAGGGGCTTCTGCTGGTTCTCTCATTGAAGAAAGCAAGGTTACAGGGATTCAGGCAGAGGGCCTTCTCGGTAGTGGCACCCTCCCTGTGGAACACCTTCTCTTCAGATGTCAAGGAAATAAACAACTATCTGATTTTTAGAATACATCTGAAGGCAGCCCTGTATTGGGAAGTTTTTAATGTTTGATGCTTTTGTACGTTCTGATATATGCTGTGAGCCCCCCAGAGTGGCTGGTGAAACACAGCCAGATGGGTGGGGTATAAATAATAAAATTATTAATTGTTGTTGTGTTAATCTCCCTACAGCAACACTGAATAAAAGATGCATCCTCATTACTGGAGACTAGCAACTCATATTAATAACATTTTAATCATTACAAACTCCACAAGAGCACACCTTTATTAGGGCAACCAAAATATCACAAAACAGTAAACAAGCTTGGCATGAAAGCCATAAAGAAAGGGAGTGGGAATGATTGATGGGACCTGAGACCATGTACAGTGGTGCCTCGCAAGACGAAAAGAATCCGTTCCGCGAGTCTCTTCGTCTTGCGGTTTTTTCGTCTTGCGAAGCAAGCCCATTAGCGGATTAGCGGATTAGCGCTATTAGCGGATTAGCGGGCTTAGCGGATCAGCTGATAAGCGGCTTAGCTAAGCTGCTTAACAGCTGTCGCTAAGCCGCTTATCAGCTGATCCGCTAAGCCGCTTAACAGCTGATCGCTAAGCGCTTATCAGCTGATCCGCTAAGCCGCTTATCAGCTGATCCGCTAAGCCGCTTATCAGCTGATCCGCTAAGCCGCTATCAGCTGATCCGCTAAGCCCGCTGGTCACTAATAGCGCTAAGCTGCTAAGGCCACTAATGGGCTTGCTTCGCAAGACGAAAAAACCGCAAGACGAGAGACTCGCGGAACGGATTCTTTTCGTCTTGCGAGGCACCACTGTACCAAGTTTTTTCTGCCCCTCCCTTCATCCTTGGCCAGAGTGGAGTGGAGATGATGAGTGGAGTGAGATGATGGCACTGGCAAGAGGTAGCCAAGGTAATAGACTCGGATCTCCTAGATGCTATGCAGGTTTCAGGCGACACTTGGGGATTCTGGGTTGAAGAAATACAGGGATTTTAAAAGGAACAAGAAAGAGGGCTTTCTCAATAGTGGCACCCTTCCTGTGGGGATGCAGGTAAGCATGTACTGTATGTTGCTCTAGCCTCCTCATAAAGAAAAGGCAGCATATAAAATGCAGCTAATAGATATAATAAAACTAGCTTCAAAATCCACCCTTCACCATGATGATCTTAGGCAAGTCACTCACTTTCAGCCCAATAATCATGTATAAAATAGCCATAAGAAGCAAGGCCTTTAGTACCACAGACAGTATCTAAAGTTTAACATCCATCGGGTGGCCTAGAGCTGGGAAATGTTTACCCTTAGTCTGAAAAGATTAGAAACTATAAACAAATGAAAAAATATCCTTACTCCTATTGCCATGAAGCAGATTATTTTCAAATTAAATTAAATTGCAAACAAAATGCATGTCTTTGGCTGTATTCAAAGTACAAAAAGTAATAAGTAATAGAGGCCCCAAACCAAAAATGTTCAAAGGCATGAAAGAAAAAGTCAATTAAAAATATTAGATAGAACCTCCAGGAAGCAGATGAGAAGAAAATGACTTTCTATAATGTCGCTTTCCTCTCCTTCCCACTGCCTCAATCCTACAAAAGGTGGGAGGGCTATTTACACCCACACCCACACATTTCTGAGTTGTGTTGTTCAGTGTGCAAGGTGTCATTTATTTATTGCTTTCTGTGCTACCCTCTCTTCAAGGAGCCAGGGACGCGGACTTATAAAAAATATTGGGGGGGGCCCGGAAAGCTC